CTTTTATTAGTGTCTCAATATAGATGAGTATTTATGTTTTTTTATATGTAGTTTTAAGCAGTTTTGTTTGTCTGTGCAATTTCTAAGTGCCGTAGCTATGTACATATCTGTACAGTACATAGCTACATAGACATTAAAGAAAGAGTGCTTATTAGTAATTGTTCAGATCCAGAAATGCTGGGTAGTGCTACGTAACACCGATGAAAATTAATTATTAACTAACCTCGATATAACGAACAAATTTCCCCAGTCCCTTGGCACTTCGTTAAATCGAGGTTCCACTGCAGTAAGTAGTGTAGTAGTGTAGTAGTGTGTGGTAGTGCAGTATACATTGTAGGTGTAGAGTCAAGTAGTATGTAATGCAAGTAAGTACTTTACAGTACGCATGTAAAAGTTCCTGTTTTTTAAATGTAGTAAAATGAATTTAATGTAATTATAAAAATAAAAATTAAAAAAAATAAAAAAAAATGAAGAATTATTCATGAAGTTTCAAACATCAAAATTCACACTTCGCTGTTAGGAAGAAGGCTTGAGCATGTTTGCACCTAGTAGGGATTATAACTTAATTAGTATATAAAGCTAAGGTTTTTCATGCATGAAATGTTAAATCCACTCCTGCTTTTCCTACTGATTGTTTTGTATGTTTTTTGTTATGAACTTTTGTCATTCTTTCAGAAAACAACAGGGTTTCTCTGCCTATCTAATTGAGGTAGGGGGTTCTTCATACATGGGAATGTTTGGTTACTTAACAGCATATGAAGAAATGGTGAACCAGGTGAAACAAGTAATGTAAACTGCATATAAAAGCTGTTTTCCACATTGATAGTTTTAGGAGTAAATTTAGTTTTAAGTGTTTCTCTGATTAAAAGTATCTAGATACGTGTATGACCTGTAATTAATAATGAAAGAATTTCTGTTGACTATACAGTACAACTTCATATGTACACATAAGGGGTTTTACGTGGGGTTTTAACTAGGAGAGCTTGTATGGTCTGGGAGGTAACTTNCTGTAATTAATAATGAAAGAATTTCTGTTGACTATACAGTACAACTTCATATGTACACATAAGGGGTTTTACGTGGGGTTTTAACTAGGAGAGCTTGTATGGTCTGGGAGGTAACTTAAAGGCTTTTCAGGTGGCTTACTACAGGTTTGATGGATTATAACTGCCCAACTTCCAACTCTTTTCAAAAATGTTCCAAGTTGTTTTTCCTTTCTCTATTTACTGTTTGCTGAAGTCTTTTACCATTCTATGTGAAACTTGAACAATTCAGCGTCAACAAATGGCCAAAATGGTCGACCAAGTATCTAAGGATAGACTGGGCACTAGTACATTAAATC